TTCCTTTCTCTCTACAGTATTTGGTAGCACGTGCCCCAGATTTGTCTATTTATAAGATTAACTGCATTTGTTTATTTTACCAGTTTAGTTGTGCGTAGGCAGTATTTTCTCTGTTTCAAAAGGTTATAATTACTTTTTAATTTCTTTGTTTTTTTCCCCAGAAATTAACTATATCACATGACCAATTATGGCGTTCCTTAGTCTAATGGAGATATGGATTTTATTAGAAATATAGGTAATAACAATTTATAAAATATTGAAATTTATAAAACATCAGATAACAAACGAATACCCTGAAATTTATCATTAGAAATTTCAAAAAATTAAATATTTATTAAAAATCTACAAAAACAGATAATCATTAGAATTTTTTAAAAATTTAAATTTTATATGCAAACATCATTTGATTCCTGTACTAGTTAAACAGTTATGACGTGATTACAACTACTAGTTTCAGAAATAATCTTAAAAAATTTAATAGACAGAATATGAAATGATGCATTTAGAACGAAGAATGTTTAGAATATTTATTAGAATTAGAAGTATTTAAAATATTTTCATAAAAGCGCTGTCATATGAAAGGACGGAAAATGACTAGCTGTGATATAGGAAAAATTAATTGCTTAAGAAGCATCTGCGCACCTTTTTTTTCAATGAATCGCTTGCCAAACTGAGCTTACAATAGTTATTTCCCAAAACTGAAATAAAAGCAATTTTCGTTTTGCTAGGATATGAAGATAGACTCTTTATAGATAATCCAAATCAAACATATATTTATCCCTAATAACATTCAAGAATTGTAAAGAAACTGATAATGCGAAATTATTATTTGATTGTTTGATTGACCTAATCAATTTCACTGATTATGTGAAATTATGACAATTTTCTCAAGTTTTGGTAATACATTAGTGTGAAAAACTTAAGCAACAAATTCATTTTTCAACAAACAACCATGAAATTGTTGGAAAGGGTTTTTTGCGATCAATACAATGAAAAGCCAACTCAGTAGAAGGGTGATGGGCATGTATAAATCAGCATCATGACGTTAGAGGGTACGTCAGGGCACTCAAAGTACGAGGAGTAAGCGGGCGCAGTACAAGGCAACTTAAAAGAAAGAAAGAAATGCGCAATTCCATGCATTCTTCTGAAAGTGAAAGTGAAACTGTACATGCAGTATGGCTACAAGAAAACATCGGGATGTTTTTACACGTGGTAGAATGATTGGCAAGTTTGTGGAAGGACGTAGTTTAACGTCTGTCGCCGATGAGTTTGAAACTGACAAAAGCGTTGTTTCATGAGCTTGGAAAGCCTTTCATATGACAATTACAGCTGTAAGACAAGATGATGTTCATTGGCCAGAGAAAAATAACAGTGACTGATCACCGATATACGCCCTGTAGGCGGAAAGAGACCGAAACTAGACATGGGCAACATTACTCACTGCACGCGACAACCGGATGACAACTGCCAGGCTACTGTGACCGAACGACTTCATAAAGGCGGTCTTTTCGCCGCCGTCTTGAACGCTGCGTACCATTGACAGCAGCCCGTAGGTGGCAACGTTTACAGTGGTGCAGAGAACACAAGGAATGGACACCTCATCAGTGGATTCACGTCCTCTTTACCGATGAGAATCGTCCAGCCTGAGAAACGATTCTTGGCGCTATGTGATATGGAGAGATATAGTGATAAGGTTTTATTTCACTAACATCAGGAAAAGAGGCCGTTGGAGGTGATTCTGGCGTGCTTGTATGAGGAGGCATTATGATAGACGGAAGGATGGAATTCCACATTTTCAACAGAGGTTCACTTAAGGAAGATGGTTACTATAATGAAGTTATTCTCACCTACGTGCGTTTTTTTTTTCCTGGGCTGCCACTAATCCCGACTTTGTTTTTATGGATCCGACTTTGTTTGTCCTGCTTGGTCACACAGGACTGATGCTGTTGAGAAGCTCCTGGGAAGTAAAGATATCCACAGAATGGATTGGCTAGCGTACTATTCTGATTTGAATCCCATTGAACATGTGTAGAATGCTTGACGCCTAGTGGCACAATCTTACTCTTCGGTGAACAACAGACAACAGAAACAAATGCTCCTTGAAGAAAGAGAAATCTTACCCCCAAGAACTGCTAGATAATTTGTAGAATATAGACAGATAGTGTAACACAACCATTACAGTTAGGGAAGGTCATATCGCTTGTTAAGACTCTTTGGTTTGTTGTTCTTCCTCTTCGCCAGACAGTGTTTTGTATCAACACTCCATTCTGCCGATAGACTTTTTCTCTTCGTCTGTTTATTCCGTACTGTATGCGTTCTATTCTCTTTTTTTTTTTTTTTTCTGCTATATACTTTCCTCATTCTTGAAACATTACATTTTGCCTCTGTAGTATGAATTTCATCTCTCCGAATGAATGTTTTGCGGAATTAAAACCCAAATAAGAAAACGTTGCTTAAGTTTTGCCCACTACTGTAGTTAGATTTTTCAGAACAAACCCTATCCTCTCCTTCTTTGCTCATGTCATATAGTTTGCTCAGACTAAATTTAAAGTTATGTGACATAGTTTAAAAGTAGGAATTTAACCTTAAGTGAGGACTGTTGGAGCGTCGGTACATTTCTTTTGTCCCTCTGAGAACTAATTTCTTCTGAATTCATTGAAGGCCAGAAATTAGCTAGTAGTTGTGCTGTTAGTAAACGTTTAAAGTTTTAGCTTTAATGTTTGTGTTATATTCATGCCAGCTCCAGCATTTTTGGAGTCTAGGTGATCAGTACAGTTGGATTCCTTTATAAATTAAGCATATTAATAATTCAAAGCAATAAATACTTTTATTTAATTGTCGTTTGTGAGAACAAGTTAGCTAACACCCTTTGAAAATCAGCACCCTAAGGCTGGTGTGTATCTCGCCTATGTTTGGAGCTAGTCTCGGTTATATTTTCAACTGTAAATCGCCTAGAGTAGTTTAATAAGCTTTAAGTTGGCTATTCAATTTTTTTTTAATTTATGTAATCATTATGGACGATACAGCATTCATAGATTAAGATAGGTCTGAGTGTTACACACTGAGTATTCAATTAATTCATGCCAAGCAAATATTAATTTAGAAGTCTGTAAGGATTATGTTAATTTTATTAACAGTTAAATTTTAAGTTCCTTTCCTGTCAAATTCTTAACTTCAACTTACTACTTCCGGCCAGAACGTACTTTTGGAATCTTGCTGAATATTTAATGAGGAGGAGCGGTATTTAAACCACGAAGTTACTTACTGAGTCAGAGAGAATCCGAGTTTCTGATTTACGCCCGTTTGCCTTTTTAGCTACTCTTTCTCTCAAAGCTGTTAATACGCTTGGCCGTAGTCAGGCCCTTGCTAAGCTTTGTAGTCAAATAAGTTAAGGTGGCCAACTCGATTTGAACCTTGATAGTTTCGGCTATACTTCTTTAGTTAATCATAGTTTTAGTTTAATTCTTAGTCTTTTAAGTTCAAGTCGCAAGTGCGGGCTTTGTTTATACACTCCCAGGCGGAGTTTTGTTAAATCTTATTGGAATAATAAATGTTTAGTTACCCTTCTATCTTGTTGTTTCTTGTCACCGAACTCAAGCGATTATTCGATTATCAGTTCTTAGATTCTTCACTTCCAACATTAACTTAGAATTCCGAAGTGAGGAACTCTACAAGTCAAACAACAAAAATCAGCGTTATATTTTCAAATTGCACAAAAAGCAGCGTTATATTTCAAAGTATTATTCATTTCAATTACTGTCGCACTCGAGAGTTATAAATTTAAAATGCTTCTTAAATGCTGTGCTATTGTCAGAAACAACTTTCGCGGAATTTTTCCAAAATTAAACGATTCATGATTAAAATGTCTGCTTTTTGACGTTGACAAAGCTTTTCTTTCTAATTTGTAAACGTAAATTCAGCATCGTCGCTTTTGGAAGAATATACATCATGCCTGCAGTGAAAGGCACTAACGAAAGGCGATGGATCTAAAAAAGTCTTCATATTTAAACCTCATTTCCTGTTATTCCAGCAAGTTCAGATTAAACGGCAGGCTTGGGATGATGTGCTTAGTGAGACACATAATGTAGAAAAAATGAATTAGAATAAGATGTTTTACTGGCGCTAATGTCATACTAAAGGTCATTTGAGACGTCTTCTGCTTGTGGCGTAAAGATTTATTCATCTGGCACTGGACTCAGGAAAGTCCTTTTAAATGTCGCAGGTTCTATAGATTTAAGTTAACCATACAGTAGAATAGAACATTCGTTGCATAATCATGGATTGCACGAATAAATACTCAGATGATAATTTCATGATTCTATTTTGCCAAGAAGTTGTCTAGCTATCGAGAGACTCCAAGAAATAACCTGAACAGTACTGATGTACAAAAAAATCTTTCTAAATTAAACAACAGTTCTCACATAGAAGTTGATGCTTCCTACCATACAAGCAGGAAGATACTTCCGTTAGTTGCAAGAAAATATGATTAACAGTGATCCTGGATTCTGATGATACGTTTTCTGATTATCACGAGAATGATGAGTGGTCCACATTCTGATTATCACGTACGCCCGCAAACCCCAGGCCACTATGTCACACTATGGATGAAGGAGGAACGCACAGAACCTTAACCAAACTCGAACTCGCACCTTTGAGTTTGTATAAGCAATTAGCCTCCGCTAACTTCTACATCGTTCAGGCTGAGACAGAGATAATCACGCGAATGAAGCAAATTGCAACAACAGCATTTTATGCGAACTATAATCTGAAATTTCCAGATTGCAGGTTTCTATCTGTATCTGTTAATTAAAATTGAGACAAGACTTTCTCATAAAATTTTAAATGTGTTAAAACACTTTTTTAGGCAGCAAAAGATGCAAATTATTTTGTATATGTGTTTTAATCCAAGAATCTTTTATATATTAATTTAATAAATGTGATTTTGCGCAAAAATATTAGAAGGGTGTGTTTATTTTAATTGTTTATTTTTTCATCTGTAGCAATCGTTTGCGTGTCAGTCTTTACGTTCTTTGGGAAGACTGGTGGAATTAGAAAATATACCTATTACTCACAGCAAAACATTCCTTTGGATTTTTCAACAGCTTCTTACTTTTGATAAAATTTACGAATGTATTTAATGTGCGTTTTACTTTACAAATGTATTCTTCCCTCTCTGCAAATAATTTTAGAATGTTTTACCGTATTCGAATAAACATTATTTAAATTTGAAAAATCTGCTTAATTATTTCCCACAAGTATTTATAACATGTCTAATAAATTTCCTGCAATGTGACGAAACATATTGTTGCGTTATTTTTTCCCTTTACGTTACGGACGTACGGGGTTCGTGCGTATTTGGAGTGAATAACGATCACACTTGATGAAGTATCGAAACAAACTTTATTGGACAGTATTTATTCAAAACAGCTCCAATAACACGTTTACACAGTCGTCGAAGAACTACAGTAAACAGGCTGACACGATCAGCGACACAGCCTTCACACTATCAGGCTATAATGGTGGAGACAGCTTCACTGCAAAGCATCAGTGTACAGCTCCCGACTCTGCTCGGTCGTTCTCGGAACTCCACGGACTCTCGAGACTCTCCACGCTACAACTCGCGATGCACTCGACGATACACAAGAGTACAGCTCTCGACTCAGCACACTCTAAGAGAAAACTCGACGATGCACTAACTCTCAATACACTAAAAGACTCTCCCGATGCACTCGACGAACAACTCGGCCCTAGACTTCGAGACACTCGCTCAATGACTGACTATCAATTCGCTAGACGAGGTACTAACTCCGCACGGACTCTCCGCGTACCAGCAGGGTTTATATAGTTTTTGGTTTGTGTTCAAGAACATTCTCGGCTAAACCAGTAGGAATTCGCTCCAGAAGGTTCTCCATCCGTCCATGGCATATCGCCAATTTTGTCGCCAAATGGGCGATTTCTCGCTAAATGTGGGCAACCCTGCCTGTCCTTGCCACTTTCTGGCAACCCTAAACCTGCTTTGCGGGGAAGGTATCCTACCGCGCCTGGACATTTCTTAACAATATACACCGGATGATTTTAAAGTAATGCAACGCGTTTAAGAGACAGTGTGATTTATGTCTAGGAAGAGAGGCAAGTGCTCTATATTGCAACATTCATACGGAATGAAGCGCCGCTTCATAGGTTCTGCCCAATATCTGCTGAGATCGACACTTGAGGACAGCCGTGTTCTCTTTCTCACACAAGTGGCAGCCGAGGTCTCCATACCTTATATCTTATGACTTTTGATTATGGAGCTACTTGAAGTCACAGGTGTATAGAAGCTGGCCGAAGTTATTGGTCACATTAGAAGTTATATGGATAGGAATTACATCTGAAACGATTTTCGATACTCTGCAGTGTGTCTTGCCACGTCTGACGCCCGTTGTCATGAATGACGTCCGTCACTTTGAATAATTGTAATCCCAGATGCGTTGTGAACTGTGCTTGTGCCCCTATACGGATTCTCAAACAAATAAAACTCCAATCCTAGATCAAAAATATATTTATTCTGGCAATAAAATCCTTTATTATTAAAAAAAAATTCTCATACCCTTTCGTGCATTTCTGTGAGGATTGCATCATGCTATTGTCTTTAATTTTCGAATTATTGAATTTTTCTTTTTTCTATTACTTTTAGATCATCTTCCATACATACTAAAATATTACCTCCGGTAAAACCAAAAACTTCAACGACAATAATTTCTTATTGCATATGAGATTTAATAGGCGTGTTGTTTTCTTTTCAAAGATAAAGACTGAGAACGACTAAGCCTTCTTTAGTATCAGAAATATGCCTGCAAGAACAAATTTCATAAAAGTGATTATTTTATGTCAACACGCAGCCTGGTATAATATTCATGGAAATTATTTTGTTATAAGCACGCCTTAATTGTGTGGATCATGAATCACCAGTAGAGTTTCGAAGTCCTGGATCTCGCAGCTTCGAGATTTCTGAATTCAAATCTCCGTTCTAGAAATTTAAGAAAGAATTTTTTAACTCTCAAACATTCCTATCCCTCGTAGAAATTATATGTTACCAATCTGTAAAAAAATCAAATTCTAAATAGCTTCGAGAATTTTTTTACAAAACATTGGACATCAAGACATAATTATATAAAAGATACTTTTCTGTTATTATTATGGTTCTGTTTGAATGGAAATGTTTTTTGCATAAAAGAAAGTAAACTGCAAGACCGTGTTTTTGTAAAACTGCCGATTTCGCAATCAATAACAAAATCCTTTTTACGTTTAAAAAGAAAAGAAGGGGGAAAATCAAAAAGAAAGAAAGGGGGTGGAAAGTAAGAAAGAAGAAAAAAGTAAAATCTGAAAACTTTTAGTTTTTATGTTACGTCCATGGAGACGTGTTCCCCCTCCCCCGCCATTTACACACACATACACGTTTTGAGAGCAGAGAGATATTTAAAAACAGTATACATTTAGAAATTCCTTAGACAGTTTCGTACACTCGAGATATTTTTTTTTCTTACAGTGTTGTCACTTCTCGCTTTGAAATCGTTGAGTTTTTTTAATCAAAATTTCGTTAAAGTTTTTACAAAATATGATATAGATAATAAAATAAATTCGAAATTCAAAATTCGGGCTTCCAGGTGCCTATATTAGGGTGGAGGACTACGTTATTCAAAATTTGATAGCTCTAGGTACCGCTGTTTTTTCACAAAAGCGATAAACATGCATACATTCATGCAGATTCTTCATTGTTTAATTTCTTTAAATATAATACAGGCCAATAATATGTGGTAGTGACAATTTGAAAAGCGATTCAACGTTTTTAGTGATTCGAAGCAAAATACCATGTTTCAAGACTAACAGCCCTTCTGGCTAACGCTCTTTTTTGCTAAAAACAAGTAGTTTATTTAACGTTAAATTTAAAACAAAAACTAAAGAATTAATAATAAAAATAGTTATTTAAAAAATCAATCATTTTAAAGTTTCGTTTCAGAAAAATACTTATTAAAACTGTTATTTTTTTAATTGCCGTAAAATTTGACATTTCTGTAAAAAAATCCGTTAGTTAAAAAAATAATTATTTTACTCGAGGGAGAAAAAGGAAGTGTAAAAGTCGATTCACTGGCAAATGAAATGCTCATAAAATTTTATCAATTGTTGAAGCACTCTAATTTTTTAGAAAATATCATTACCAGTCTACAGAAACATGCTTTATAAAAAAATTTTCATTCTGAAAACAAAACATTTTTTGGAATACATCACGACCATCCCCCCCCTTTCCTCTTGGTTTCAGTTCCGTGTCAAACGTGAGTTAAAAATGAGAGTGTTTCCAAAACTGGATGATAAAATATAGCCCACTACATTAGAAAAGTAATAATTACAAAAACAAATATTAAAAGAAAATAAAAGGTATCTCATAATCCATTCCACACTCGAATTCGCTCTTTTGCAAGAATTTGTTTATTTGTTCGAGGAAATGGAGATTCGACGAGGGTGGAATAGAACAAAAATACAAGCGAAGATCACGTTCTTCGCCCGAAAAGGGTTTTTCTCGGGTGGAGGGAGATTCGAAACACCATTTTCCGGTCCATTGTGTCACTGGCCCTGATGACGTTACTCACGATCACGTGGTCCGCGATGCCATGCGGTTGGTTGGAAAGCGAATATATAAGCCTGCTACGGTTTAGGTTTCGGTACTCAACAGTTTTCTCAACCTTTTCGGTTCGTCTGCTCTTCAGCTGTTCCTACCTTTCTCGGTGTTATCATGAAGTGCTTTGTTCTAGCTGTCCTTTGCTTCGCTGCAGTGGCAATTGCACAGGAAGTACCGGTGAGTAACAGCATCTTCACATCTAATCATCGCTTGCGGATCAAAACAATCTGCCCAAAAAACAGAGAAAGAGAAAGTATTCGCAAAAGATTATGCATGCCCGTGAGGATATAGCATCCAAAAAATTTTCCAAACTATTTAAAATTTTTCGGCTTAGGTTAACAAAATTTGTAGTATTGGAACAGGCCAAAGCAACATCTGGATGTTTAGAAACACTGACTAGTTTTCAGAATAATGTTGAACACTAAGTTGAATTTATTCCAAAACTTCATAATTTGATTTCTATTCAATCTATTACTTCAGAATTATCCATTTCAAAATTGAACTGAAATAAGTATTTATGACAAACGATATATTTTAATGCAAATTTTAGAATTCCAAATTATGAGTTTGGAAGGTTATGAAAATTATTTATAGTTTCTATTTCTATGCAAATGATAATTTTAACGTTAATAAATTACAAAAACATTCTATGTCATCTAGCTGATTGATGGTTACTTATTCAATAAAATCGAGAGAAATAGATTTTTCCTATGTAAAATACTTTTTTTCCTAATGAATTAGCTGCACAAATTCTGTTTAAATTTTAAATAAATCTGGTTTCAGAAATTAAAGCTTAAATATCTAAATCGAAAATGTAATTTATAAAATAAGAATGGAAGAACAAATATTCTTTCCAAGTAGGATATATTTCTTTCTATGTACTAAATAGATTCTTTGGCAGTGGAATGCATTTGTTTTTATTAATACATGCAATACTGTCTTTAACAAAGCAGACTAATTTTTTCAGTTTATTATTACTATTTATTCTCGAATATATTTTTAATCGAAGTATATTTTAATGTTCTTTAATTTTTCATAAAATACTATTTTAATTTTCTCTGGAAAGTTCTTTTTCCTAGGAAGCAATGGATTTTTTCCTCTTTAGAATCTCTTTCGTATTTGACACAGTACCAGTATTACTTGTAGTGAATTATTTAATACCATTGTACAAGCAGAATTAATAATCTCTTTTTAAAACTGAGAAATTAATTGCTTTACTTTTAAAAACACACATTTATGTATATTCTTTAAATAATTATTTTAAATTAATCCTGTTGATCTATTAACAGATTTCATACATGAATTATGTTTAACAATTACGAAATAATTTAAAACAAAATAATTTAGAGCCTGTTTTTAGAGATGAGTACAAATATTGACATTAATGAATCAATGTTTAAAGAAACACCGCGGGAAACCTTTTTAAAATTAATAAATTTTCTTTTAAAATTTTATTTCTATTGTGATTGAATGTTGTCAAGATTGAAATATCGTCTCGACTGTATAGTCTTCACACGCTTCACGAGTTTCTATAACTAATATTTGCTAGGAAGTAATTGAATTAGAGAAAAGAAAATTATTATTTTCTTTCAGATGTTCAGCTATTATTTTACTAAGGATGATGCAAACGAATTAAATTTTATTTAAAAATTAGATTTCAGTAAAGTGTAAATCAATACAACAGCATAACAATTTTCAAAAGAGAGAGGTAAAATTAATTATTATTATTTGACAATTTGGTTTACGAGCAACAATTTGGCAATTCTAGATCTTAGTTCGGCAACAAGAAAAAGTTCCAAACTTTCGTTTCATAAGGTTTGGGGGGGGGGAAATTCGGTGTTTTTATCTCAAAACACTGATTCTAAATGAATATTTCTATATTAAAAAAAAAAAACTCTTAATTTTTCGCAGAAAATTTTTCATTACGTAACAAGCACTTCAATAAATGGAAAGACTGAAGGGCTAATTTAGAAATAACAAATCTGAATTTCTTTTAACTTAAAATCAGAAAAACAGCTTATTCCATTACTCAATCGTTTCCTTTAAATACTAGCAGCGAAGTGTTAAAACTGGCATTAAGATCTGTATTTTGTGCTTAGAACAGTACATAATCCGCTGTAACTTAATTTTTCATTTCAGCAGCAGTGAAGTGTTAAAACTGATATTAAAATCTGTATTTTGCGCTTAGAACAACATAATCCGCTGTAACTTAATTTTTCATTTCGTAATTAGTGTGAAAAGACTGAAGTAACATTAAACTAGTTTCTCAATCGCTTGGTGACGGTTACTTGCTATTCGAAGCGGCAAAATTGTTTGATGCAAGAAGTGCGCCGTCCCAACCGGTGACTAGTTGACCCAATTGGCCCAGCAGACGAAAAACTCTTTTGCTTTCCTTCTCCCCAAAACTTTTCCACCACACTCTCTAGTCCCGCACTTCCGTGTCTTTGAGGAAGTACTTGGCAGTACCTTGATACTAAGGTGGAAGATTAGACATTCAATTTAAAATACATCTCAAACTGTTATAGTTTATCTCAGTTCTGGCATCATCTCATAAGAAAATGAATAAAAAGATTTTGTTAGCACATTTGCACGTGTCTTAGATCATTTTCTTTTCAGACAAGTTTGAGTTAATTATTTTTTGATGGAAAAAACAAACTAAAGAATATAACTGAATTTTTTTCCTTCCCAAATATAAAATACTTGCCATATTTATTTGAATGTTGCCCATCGGTTACGGTCTCAAAGTAAACATGCTAGCAGCTATTAGGAAATTTTCATGTATTGCTGATAATTCGCCAAGCAACAGCCAAATAAATAAGGCATATTATATACATTCCTCTAAGATTTAATGTTATAGATACTTGGGATAACTAGCGACCGAATGAGTAAGACCATTGAGCACAAAATTTGACCCGGCTTCGATCACTGTTGAAAGGTATAATAGTATGAGTGTTTTTGAAGCTTTCCGTATATATAACGCAAAAATCACTCCCACATACGAATATAACTTTCGCATGAATAGCACATACATAAATAAAAAATTTTGCTCAGAAATATCGTCCAAAAAAAGCATTTCCTCCGTTTAGGTCAGATAGACCTCGCTTGCTTTGCTTTAATCAATTAATTAACTAATAATTGATTAGTTAATTGTTTCGCATTTCATTCTTTGATACTGCTTACCATAAATCACCGTAATTTGCCCATATTTGGAATCTGTCAGTGCTAGTTATATATAATGGAACCTCGAGTCCCGAATGCAATTCCTTCTTGCACGACGTTCGTAATCCAAAAATACTTTAGCCATAGGAACTAATATTGTTGTGTATAATCAAGCCCGTGAATTTTGTCGTAGCAAGGACTATAAGACTCCGTTTGTCGTTACTATAAGCTTTAAGCATCATACTCGTATATGTGATAGTACGACTTTGCCTCGTCCCTCCCCCCAATTTTGAAGGACAGCATGCTGAAGGATGGCGTCCGAGGGTCTTCCACTTCTCTTTCCCTAACACCAAATCAATCCTCAATTTCGAGGGAACTTTTGGATTACTCGCATTCTGAATACCCTCATGCCATACATACACTGTAAATACGCAGTGTATGTATGGCATGAGGGTATACATACACTGCGTATTTACAGTGTATGTATGGCATGACAAGTCCATGCATTCTCCAAAATTTCAACCTGGAGAACGTCAGTTAGTGTCACTAACCACTGTACTGTCGCAGAGGCATGAACTAATGTAAAATGGAATTATTCCATTCCTAGACTACAGATTATTGCTTATTAAAAAATTCTTACAACAGTGCTCTGAACACAAGTTCGTAACATATAACCATGGAAAATCATTAAATCTAAGACAAAAAAGACAAAAACTATATATATATAAATGGCCATAAACGTAGGTTGATGTAATCGTACATGCACAAAGGAAACTGAATGGCACCAGTGGAAAGAGATAAATAAGAGAAAAGGGAGAAATATTGTTGTTTATATGTGGACATGAAGTTCTTATTCATAAAAACATCAGAGAAGTGTCTTCCTGAGATATTTTCTTTTAGCTTTTCTTTGTTTCTTAAAGCCACTCTACTCTGATTAAGACACGGTGGGTTTCATTTTCCTGAACACTTGTTCAACTTGATTCGTTGTTGTCTATCTCTTAAAATGCTGAAAGCTTGCTAGTGCTTTATCGAGTTGATATCATTACATGATATTTAAGCATCTAACCTCATTTTGCTCAAATTTCAGGGATCAAGAAACTAGATACATATCCTCTTCCTTCTAAAGACTCTTTTTTCCGCAATCACCTTTTGTTACCGCTTCTGGTGTTCCAGTTTTCCTTGAGTTCATCTATATGGTCTTTTAGTAATCTTTACGCCTTTACTGATATGTTCCAAACCTACAAAAAAAAAAAAAAAAAAAAAAAAAAAAAAGAAGGTCCTCAATGTCTTAATACTCAAAATTTCTGCCTGAGACATAAATGGCCATAATTTCTTTCCGGCCGAATTCACGGTCTTGTAAGTTACTTGCCACCAGGTTTCGTTATTGAAATTGCTTTAGAAAATTCTGAATACCATTCATTTTAATTTAGAAAATCATCTCTGAAAGAATTCTTTCTAAGACAGTTTAATTCAACCAACAAAATTTTAAAATGTATAAATTGTTAGAAACGAAAATATCGAAGGTTTCTGCATATTATGAAGAAAACCATTTGTTCACAATATTTTAGCGTTCTGTGGTGTTGACTCCATTTTAACGTTCTGTGATGGAGTTTGTAAGAACATTATCTCTCTTTGTGTAGATGTTCCAAAAGAGGATTAATAAAACTAGAAACTCACTTTTATTTTTGATTTATTGCTACTTTTTATAGTGTAACTAGCCATTAAAAACACTGTAACCTAATTTACCTTTCTTTAAAACGTTTTATAATTTTTTTAAAACCCTTCTTTTTAGTGAACGTTTCTAACAAATTCTACGCTTAAATCTAAATATCATTTTTCAGTATTATCCATCAGTTTAAAATAAACCAAGGAACTAAATGCATTTGCGCTAGGAAATTTCTTCTAGGATCTATAGCCTTTTAATCTAAAGCTTTCATGTTCGTTTCTGAACTATTTACAGACATTTGTAAAAAAAAAAAAAAAAAAATAAATAAATAAATAAATAAATAAATAAATAAATAAATAAATCGGCAAATACAACCTCGCGCAAATTTGTAAATCTTGTTTTAAATTACGCATTCTATTATTACACGCTTTGTTTGTACGTATTCCAATTAATTTTCTATTCAATTTTGCTACTAAACACAGGTTTTGACAAAAGTCTACAAATTCCAAGTAACCTGCTCAAGAAATTCTATAATAATTTATGACAAACTATCTATCAGAAAAGCAGAAACTGAAAACAGCAAAAATATAATCAGGTCGAGAAGGGACTGGTTAGCATGAAAACTGATTTTAGATCGCCCACATGATAAAATTTATTTTCTTAAGTTTATCAGAAACCTGTTTCTTTCATTCAAAATAACTTGTTTTACTTCCGATAAAGCTGCTGAACATTCTGCTTTAGTTGGTCTTCGCAATCTATTAATATCCCTAGCATGAAATTTACTAACTTTGAACAAATAGTTCACTTTTATCTGAGAAAACTTGTTCTTAACCAAACACGGAAACACTTGCTTAGTCTACTGAAGAGGAACAATATGTCAGATGATGTCCAATAAATTTCATTCGGCCCGATTTTTTAAATCTATGTATTTAACGTCATTTAAAGGGAAATGTTTTTTCCCTTACTTCTGACAGATCGTTATGGCTATCGTTGAGAAGCAATTTTTTATTTTAGGGATAACTGTTCAGAACAGCAATTGGAGCGGTATATGAATATGAGTTCTATCTACAAACATTTTTCGTTTCGCATCCTTTCCTTTTCAGTTATAGGTTAAATGCTTTAGATAATGCACTGGACCACAAGATGATATATTCTTCGTGAATGGGAACATCATAAATATCTTCAGCTAAAAACGAAATCGTAAATTATTAGTAAATAACTATCGCCTGACTACTGCAGGTGAATATATCAACATGAAATCTTTGTAAATGCAACAAAAGATTTAATTTTTTCTTTGAAATAAATTAAGAGAATGTTTAATGTTTCCTTATAAATTCCTTGATTCTTATTCAGTCGGATACTAAGGAAATCCCAGTTCCTTGATTTTTGTAATAAATTTCAGCGAATATGGTTGGCATAATCAAAAGCACGAATCTGCAAATTTTGCTGTTTCCGTTTAAACACATTTTCTAAACTAGTTTTCCGATAGCTTACTCTGGAAGCTTACGTAGATGTGTATTCCCTATAAAAAAAGTATGTAAAAAAACCCCATTAAATCGAGAGTCCAATAGCAAACGGATAAGACCCGAGATACTGATAATTCGAGCCCGATTCAAACAAACCCTGACGAATGGGCTGGGGTGCATGGTTTACTTTCCGATGCGTAATATGAATATGAGCCAGTTTCCCTTAGAAAGTACTCTATGAAAGCATCTTTACAATTAGACAGATGTCCTCGTGTAGAATGCTTCGTCATGTTCTACAAAGAAAAGAATGAACATTAACTCAATTTTTCTAAAGTATTAAATTCATAAAATAGTCCTTGAAATAACGTTTTTATAAATTAATGGGTATGACATGTTATCGACGATATTCTCATAAAAGAATGCGTAAGTTTAAATCAACTCAACCGAGTGACTAACACCGTTAAATAAATTTCTGTGTTCGGTTATTGCAAAAAGTTTGGTGTAAAAGCTCCTCCCATTTTAAATTGATTTCTGTTAGAAAGAAAAGAGCGGATTTCTCATGAAAAAACTTTCACAAAGGTATTTTTCGTAAAGGAAAGTTTTTTCGTAGGTATTTCTTTTCTTTACTAAGGTATTTTACTACATCAACTAACTACCTTTTAAATTAGCTCGAGGTCTAATAATAAAATTTTTTTAAGGAATGAAAATATTAATTTAAGAATACATGAATGACCAATTCTGAAACGTTGAATCACTGAAAGAGACTTGAATTAAATTTCTGTCTAATGAGGGATTTCATCATGTGAAAAGCATTTTAAGGCTTGAATTTTTTGCCTTAATACTGTTACCATTATTATACCACAGGAATTCACTCTCGCTTCATGTAATGAAACTGAATCGTAATTAATTCGAAATTCTAAACTCTTTTTCTTTCCCCAGAAAAAATTTAATCACTTATGGCATTGAGAAATTGAATTAAATGATCTGCATATCGTTTCTGGTTGATTAACTGTTCTATAGGCGACCTTCATCTGTCATTGAAGAACTTGTTTCTGAAATTCAAAAAAAGGTTCACACCCCTGTAAATCCAAACCGAATTTCTGTTGCAATATGACAGACCAGAACCAGTTCAATGTAGGTTGCAGCGCAGTAGCGTTAACATATTTCCTGAACATAAAATAAATTTTGATTTTATCATAGGCAGAGTTGCTTAACAGGATTTTCCAGGCTACGATATAAAGTTCATTTATTATGCAGATTTCATCTCGTTTCACATTCTGCTCCAGTTATTCTAATTCGTTGATGAATTTCAAAATCTCCACTCGCATATTTTCTTGTCTTTTCTTTACAGCATTTGTCATCTCGATTGCAATTTGAAATTAAATTTATAATTTATTTTGCCTATCACAGTTTCAAGCTTCCTCGTCTACTACTTTGCACTTTTTTTTGCTTTTAATTTCGCAATGTAGAATGGCAACCTGACAATCGGTAGTAAAAATTTTATACCACATCAATAGTAGCTATTCTATAAACATTAAACAATACTCAATGTTACAATGGAGCATGACGAAAGAAAAATCATTTTAAAACTATTAGCAACAGTTGCACAATTTTTAAATGAATTTACTAAAATGTATTTTGGAAATGCGGCTGTTAGAACAATTATGCGTTTCAACAAGTTTTTTTTTTTTTTTTTTTTAATGTTTTTCTTACGAGTCTCTCGCAGATTTTTTATTAATAGGATGATTTTAAAAGTTACATTACACGGCTTTCGGGAGATTAGTTTGAAATTTAAATATTTTCTTCTTTTTGTTCTTAAACTAAATATTCTTGTTCCATCCCCCCGATCAGTTGAAAAAATAAGTTAGTTGATGATTCAACAAACTGCGCATGCGCATACGTAAAATCTCATTTATTGAGTAATATGAATGAAATAACATAAATGATACAACACATGCTGTAATTCTTTTGAAAACAACAAAAAAGAACACATAAAAATAAACATGCGGATTTTAAACACCTTTAAGAAATGAATGCAAAGATCAATGTAAAAAAGTCCAAGGAATTTCTAAAAATATGTTAAAACTTGTTTTATGCATAAACAAAAAGTGTGGTCTGTACTATAGAGCATTTTATATTGTACATATTTAACATTTTAATTCTGAGATTGAAATTTAGTAAGAAATATAATACAAGAAGTAAATGTCATAGTAAAATTCAATATAGTAAATCTCAATCTGAATTCTTACCGAATATATGAGAACAAAATTAACTAGGAAGAGATTGAACATTTTTTGACATAAGTATATCATACTTTTTAAGTAAGTGTCTAAACTGAATGAATTATGTAATAATTATTTTTGATGGTAGTAGTAGCTATATTTTTTGGTATGAAATTTCACATTTCACTGAAAAAGATGTTACTTTCAGACAACGTAAGCAAATTCTCGTATCTTTACGAATAGAATCTAGTAGACCAACTTTATATAATTAGATTCTACGATCCTCCCTTGGTTAATTACATTCTACTAAATTTAACTGCTAATTATAGTAGAACATATATATCATAAGAGAAATGGCATCTGAAAGTAACACTGCTCAAGTTACTAACAAATCAGGAGGTGTCGAAAATTAAGGAGGTTTTATTATTATAATTATTATTCCAAAAGAGGCTATTAGTCTCGAAATGGGATTTGCATCTGTTCACTATAAACAGCGTATAACTTTCAAAATTGTTGCCACTAAATATTACGATCTGTATTATTTTTTAAAATGTTAAATAATGAAGAATCGGCATATATGAAATACGTTCCTCCGATCGTGAACGAGGTACTTAGAGCGATCCAATTTTGAATAACGTAATCCTCCACCTGACCATGTGCACCTGGAAACCCTAATTTTGAATTCGATTGCTTTTTTGTTTAAAAAACTCAACGATTTGAAAACGAACAATGGCAACACTGTTTGAAATAAGAACATTTTTATCTCCATGGCACGAAACTGTCTACCGAAAATTCTCAAGACCTGCTGTTTTTGAATATTTTGTGAATTTTTGAATATTTTGTGAATTTGTTGTTGAATTTAATTTTATGCGTCGTAAGTGCGAAGAATGTAATATTTAATAAATAACGTTAACACACAAAACGTTAATAGTTAAAAAAAATTCGTAAGCTATCTTATTAAGAAAACTGAACATTGATATGATAAACTGAGAAAAGACTGAAAAAGAAATATGACACCACTTTAATAATGCATCGAGAATTCTAAACATATATTACTATTATTGTGATTTTGCTGTTGAACTCTACATGGCGTAAGTGCAGAAAAAAAATGCTTAATAAAAAAGCTTTAAAAAAATGGACTTGTAGATTATTAATTATGCGTATTCATGTTCGCTGTAATTTGTTTGTATTTACCTAATGTCAAAACGAAATTATTGCAAAGCCTAATATCGATTTATTTTGCCTAGTATATAATCAGCCATGGTACATGCACACTGATTTAAAACTTTAGAACAAAAAAGAATACCGATAAATGAATTAATATATAAAAATATCAATTTCAAATATTATAACTTATAAAAACATTTAGCATCTATAAAATATTGATATTTATTAAAAATTTGCATAATATATCTCCTTTTTTCCTCCTTTCAGCAAGTAAATTGGGGAAAATGCCCAGAGCTGGAGCCAACTGCCGAAGAACAAGTAAGTCTCATTTATCATTTTGAAAGATACATAATAATTTTATGCTAGACCATTAAATTATGCTTTTTTTATTTATGCTAGTCAGAAATAAAATAATGAATTAGACACAGAGAGAAACAAATTTTTCACTCATTTACCAAAGTTTGTTTCATCCTTACATTCAAGGACATTCCATTGCAATACGAGCAAAAATAGAACTTAATAATACCACTCCTCAACTTGCACTAAAAATCAGTAAATATAAAGCAGAATTTCTTTTACTTTAATTTTCTGAAACGCAAAGCATATATTTTGAGAAGCATTTCTAGAACTCGAAATCCTTTATCGCCATATTTTCTGCTAATTAAGTAAAGACTGATCACACAGTGTTATATTTTCCTAATTTTAATTTGACATATGGAAAAAAAAAAAAAAAAAAAAAAAAAATTGAAAGCATGAATTAACATTTTTGTTGAAATAAATTCGCAAAATTTCGCTTTTGGGAAACATTTACATTAATACCTTTTCGGCTTACAAAAGAAATCAAAAATGTATTTTCCTTTTTATATTCATAAAAGTGAAAAAGCCTCTTTCGATTGCTTTTTGGATTTATTTCTCTTCCGATTTCATAAAAGTGAAAATATCATTAAGCATCTGTTTTATGGTTTAACAAAAGAACTGTGTGACATTAAAAATGAAACAAAGCAGCGTTTTAAACAGACAAGCATATTGGCATATTTTTCAACCCTTCCGCATTACCGACTAAAGATGACAGCTTTTAATATTCGAACAGATAGACAGAAAAACTGTACCTATAATAACTTGATAGGCATAAATAACAACCTTCTTTCAGCTTTTTCCTATAGTTTTCATAACTCACTACTTAATTTACGACCGTTCTGTAAGCTTCCCAGTACGCTTGGGCTCACCAGCGGCCGAGCGGTAAAGTCGCTGAACACTGGTAGTTCGATGCGAATCCCGAAAACGGGCTGGCTACATGTGCGTTTTTGTGGTTTTCCCCATGTGTAACGTGTATACAAAGCCAGTTTTCCTTAGAAAGTCCTCCCCTAAGGCATCCCTTCCCATAGGCAGATAGCCCTCGAGGCTTTGCCGTAATCAAATAATCACAATCCCAAGTGTGCTTGCTGACTTCCCTAGAGGAAGTTCTACTTAGACTGGATTTATCACAATACTTTTGTTGTATTAGAAGTTCAATTAACACTAACATTTGTTTGTTTTAAAAATTGTTTGCTATTTTAAATGATTCAATAGCTTTTCCACAATAAAAAGGATGGCTGAAATTTTTTCTTACATAATTTGATGATAATTTTTGCTTTGTTTTGTGTCATTTCGGACAACGGAAGGCTTTGCAGGAACATTTACAAAAGCACAACTTTTGTTATTTTATGGGAATGCTCCGTTTTGGGGGAAACCTGCACGCAGTCTGCTGCAAACCAGTTTTTATTTAATCTGATTCTTAGACTTTTGTAATAATAATTTGTACCTTTTTCCTCTGCAGAAATCAAAAGGCGAAGTGATCCAGCAGTGCCTGGAGAAGAACCCTCCTCCAGCTGAAGGTGCTAGCCTCACTCAGGTGCGTCTTTTCATGCAACACCTTTCCCTCTAATTATTACAATTACCTTCAACTAATGATTTCAGAGATTATTTGATAATTAGGACAGTAATTTTATCGCGAGAAAAAGAACTAAAATTTGCGAGGTAAATAACGAAAATTCGCGTACCTTCTGGGTAATATATACCAGAAACGAAGCACTAACTCAAATAACTATTATGTAATAAATTTAAAAAAAATTATGATTTGCAAATTTTTAAATGAAATTTGTATTTATAAATCAATTCAGTTCTAGAAAATTATTCAACGCCGTTATTTTAGATTAAGATTACATTTTAATTCGGCGATGTTTTCATACATCCTATTTTACATGTACCAATTTTCATCATTAAGAAGCACGTTACGCAGAAATGATCGTTCGGCTAGAAACTGTTCGAAGGCAATTACGGGAAAGGCAAGCAGGCGATTTTATCTTGTATTTCATAAGTAAAACAAAACTTAAGGTAATACGAAGTTATGGTTTCGATTTCGGAACAGGTTTGTTTTAGTGTATTTTCACTGAAATTCTAAAAGAAAGCGGCAAATATATATATATATATATATATATTTAAATACATAAATAATTTAACAATTATAATACAAACTGAAAACAGGAGAAAAAATTCCGATATATGAGGATTTGCTAGACATTCGCGGACAAATCAAGTATTCGCAAAATTTCAGAAAATTCTGTAAAAATTCGTTAAAAAGTTATAGCGGTTCAGGATTTTAGTCCACAATGAAAAATGTAGAAATGGATATATACATGCTACAGTATCATTTTATTTTAAAAATATTTACTGATTACATTGAATTTAGTAATTAATATTCATTAATTTTTTTAAAGTGTTATTAAGCGTAATAAGGCGCTATAACATCCTACGCTTAGATAATATGCAAAATTTCTTTAATAAAAGAACGCAGATTCAGTTAACGATAAATGCATATTGCTGTTCAAACTCATTACTGAGAAAGAATGAGAAAAATTTATTGAAACATTCATACATTAATAAGAAAAAATCAGCATTTGACTTCATCATTTGTACTTGCTCATAATTACAGAGCATAAAAACGGCAGAAAATATGATTAAATTTATTAATTATTTTTTGTATTCTCGAGTTTATAACTTTTGTAAAAAGAATATTTCTTATTTCCTTTAAAGTATATGAATAATAAATATATGACTAGTGAATATTAAAATATAGAGGGGAAGCATGGAATTAAGATATTAAATTTCTTTAAATATTTTAGTATACATATATTACATAAGAGCTATGGAGCCAGTTTCCCTTAGAAAGTCCTCCACGAAGGTATCCCTCCCTTTAGGCAGATAGCCCTCGTGTGATTTGCCATAATTAAATAATCCAATTCAATCCAATACATAAGAGCTATCATTAAGAAGTGTTTACTATGTGTTTTCCAAAATATGAATTTCTAGCGTTCAAGAATTGAAGAAAATATTTCACAACATACCTAATTTGAAACGTAACTTATTTAAAATTAAAATTTGCCAAGTTTTATGGAAAGATATGTTTTGAATTTAAATTATGAAATACTCAGTTGCCATATCTGATGCATTTATTACATTGCATGGTCTGATTGTTTCTAAAATTACACATTTTACTGTATCTTGTAAATTCAGCTATTGACTTTTACAAACATTGAACCATACATTATACATAATCATATTTCAGATTGAACATGTGTATATGTATATATATACACACAAACACAGATCGAATGAGCGACGTAAAATTAACGATTTTCTTCAGCCTAAGCAATAATAAAACCATGTGTTTTTCAATTTTATTTAACTAAAATGGAAGATATATTTGAAATTATAGATCTCTGAAAATCAAACAGACTTACAAATAAGATATTTTAATATTTTTCCTTATCTTAGAAATCGGTTCAGCATTTTAACGATATTAGCATAAAATAGCTGAACCGTATCTTAGTATCTAAGCCGAATTAAGAGAGATTCTTGCATAAAGATTTTTTCCTAACTAGTTATGCTAGCTTGGAGAAGAAAACTGTAATTAAGTGTAAGGGAAATATCTTGTCTCTTTGTGTGATTTTCCCGAAAATAAAAATGATCCAGATATGAATTTCAAATCATGTCGAAAGTTGAATGGCAATCTCATTTGACCAAGGGCAAGATCTTATACTGCAGACTAAGTCCAAGGACACAATTCTGTTTCAAAAATAATGAAAACAGATTATCATCAGATGAAGATAATTCTTAATTTGAAAGAATTCTGCAAATTAGTGTCTGATCACGTTACGCCCTATATAGCTTTTTAGTATACAAATTATTCTTCTCTGTAGTCTGCAATATCCTTAAACTACCCTAGTAAAAATCATGCAATTTGGTATTAAAATGAAATGGAGAAATTTATGCGTCCACACAGCACTGAAGACCTATAAATATCCGAATGGTTAATAAACTGATAAAAAATCTGACAACTGAATCTGCCCCATATTTTAGAAGGCCGCAAAATCATTCTTTAATTTTCCGTAATCCTGTGTTATCTTTGTAGTGAAAGAAGTTGGATCTTCGTCTGAGACAGGATTTTGCTAGCGAAACGGAGTGATGAATTTCGTTTTCTTTATTTGTTGTTGTTACCAGTCCCACTAGTCTGAAAGAGGTCAGCATAAGCCCACAACATTCATTGTGGCAAACGGTCAAATGCGTCTGTCCTTATCAAGACTCTTGAGCATCATTTACAGGTTATATACCCTTTTTTACTACAATTACAACCAACGTTTCAAGAAGACTTTTGGCGTGCCACGTAGTTTAGACTGCCCCCATGTCACACAGACACTATGCATTTACAAGCATCCCTGCCTTCCCCAGGATTCGAACCCGTGTCTTTCGGTATGGTAGTCAGCGCCATTAACCATTATCCCGTTTTGGCGGCTTTCTTCATTTGAACAAACATCAATATAAGCTGTTCTGTAAAAATACATATCTCCCATATTAGAGAGCTATTCCATCTTCTGCCAAGCAATTGCTAATGGCGAAGAGATTAACAATATTCAAAACTGCCAGATTCAAATCTCATGGACATTCAGAATCTTCATAAAGAAATAGCTTCTTGTTTAATCGCAGTTAGAACTAATTAATTTTATAGAATCAAGAGGAGATATCACAGCGCGGAAAATTAGACGAAATTGTGTCACTTGTAAGAGATTCATCATGTTCAAACAGATTATTTCAGTTATAATTTGGTTTCAAAATCCCTAAAAGTTAACAGTTTTCTTTACAGATGAGCCATCATAAAGGAAAATAAAAATGTATTTGAATATTCCAAGAATTCACTTTGTCATCTAAATGTCCGGACAGTGATTCGCCATTCTTTATAAAAGCAGAAAAACTTTGAAATTTTATATGTTGATTAAACCAAATATTTAATGAATATTTTTACAATTAAAGGTAACTTTTGAGCTTAAATGCAGCTAACTTCAATTGAGAGGAATATTTAAGACCATAGTTCATCTGGATAATAAGATTGCTCTTTTTCTACAAGGCATATACATATTTACAATATTGAAAAGAAGGGAATTTTATTTCTTTGTTTATCGTATTTTATTCCACGTAAGCTTTAGTTAAAAGTATAAAGAAGAGATACTTATTTTTAAACTGTTAAATTTTGTTATTTAAAATAATAAAGTGATGAATAATTTATTTACATAAGTCACAAAACTAGAAATCAAAATTTTATTTTTATAATACTAAATTTAAAAAAAAAAAATTGTCCAAAAAACAAAGAATACATTATCTAGATCTATTTAAATAAACAAAGCCAGATTATTAGAGGTCGATAAAAATGTTGATCTAAATAAACATAAATTAATATAAAATAATAATAAAATATCTTTGCAGTGAGTTAATCCAAAAAAGTTTGTAAACTAAAAACATGCTGAATTTCTACTTGACTAGAAAGAAACATAAGCAGTCTAGATAACTACAGTTCTAATGTACACTTCCTTAATGAGTAAAGTATGTTAAATACTGTTATTTTATTATTTCTGTAAAATCACGAAGTATACTAATTTAATTTTTTGATAATTCCCACAATGGAAAATCAAAATAACTGTGTAAAAGAATGCTCTAGATTCTAGTAAGCATTTTATTTCGGCAATAATTTGCTGAACAGAATTTTCTACTTACTTAAAGTAATTTTAATCTAATTACTAATTTAAACTGCCCTTAATTCCTTGAAATATAAATGCTTTTCTTGTATTTCATTATTACTCATGTTAAGGGTTATTATTCTAATTTAAAATTTGAATATGAGTTTCAATGCTTCGATTATGGTTTCTAATCGGATATTGAGCTCTGTATGCATAAATTCATACTCTTCTTTTTTTTTTTTTTTTCCTTCCACAGGAACAAATTGATGCTCATCGGGAAACTATCACTACCTGTGCTTTGAAGACTGAAGGATGGGTAAGTAAATTGGCTAGGATAATCTTACTGCACAAAAACTGCATATAATTTATAAAAATTTTAATGAATTAAAAAGCTCTGAAAAAAATCATGATGTACTATATTCATAATTAATTTTTCTTCACTTCAGTTTGGTGCTGACAACAAATACAACTACCAGAGAGCCAGAAAAGAAATCCAAAGCAAGAACTTGAAAGTAAGTAACGCAAATCCACAAAAATAATTTCGGTAACCATTCCTTCACACACAAAAAGGAAATTTACTATAATGTTTAATAATCAGATAAATTTTGATCATAAAACTATTATCATATTTACAGAAATTGCAATGACGTAGAATTTTAAGAATTTAGCAAAATTGGTGACATTCATTAGGTGAATAATTTTTTATACAAGGGAAGAGAAAGGAAGTAATAGCAGAAAAATTTGAAATTTTTAATTTAGGAGAATCTCTGTAAGTTAGCATGTACAGATAGTATCTATTAGCCAGAATTTTATAAATATCTGTTTGTAGGCTTTTTAAAATAATATATTAAATTCTAAACAATTATGACATTAAATAAAATTTTCTGCAAATAAACTTTCTATTTTAATGTAACCTATTAATCTACTTAAAATAAGATTTATTCAGAATTTGAAAAGATTTTAAGTTCAAATAACTTCATTAAAAGTAATTTTATGTACACCTCGCTCCTCCAATAATCTGAGAGTTAAAAACTTGCATTTTACAATCCTAGTTTCCTTGTAAAATCTGATAATTCTTATGCATTGCTAACTAAGTATATTTAAGTTAAATATTTAAAATAAGTAATGGAAAAAAGTGTTAAGGTTGAATAATTGAAGCAAAATTATCTTTGAATGCAAATAACACTCTTTTTTTTAATTTTTTAAAAAATTTTCTTTTATATTCATAACTGTAAAACATGTTAATCACAACCTTTCTTGAAAATAATTATGATGGAAGATACTTCTACAAAATGTATTTTATTTTAAGAAATATAATGATGGATTAAATAATTTTATCAATATTTTTTTTTACTTGCCAATTACCTGTTTCTATATGAATAAAATGAAAGCTTATATAAGCATAGATTAAATAATTTAAATTTGGCATTCATATCTGTTTTTATCCTCTGACAGGTAATATGTTTATGAGAAGTATAATAGTGATTTTTCATAGTGAATATATTCTAAAGGTTCTTACTGTGAAAATAATTTTAATTAAAATAAAATTATAATTTTCTACATTCAAGTTTTCTAATATTTCCCTTTTTTTATTTTTTTAATGACAGAACTTTGACTAATTTAATAACTAATTCCCCCCTTTTTTCCCTACAAGTTTTTCTAAATATTTCCGTTTTTTATTTACTAGCCTGAAGCTGAAATCTTGGCTAAACATGATGAATGCAGCAAGGAAGCAGTAAGTTTTCATTTAGATACTATTTCAGAAAAAGTTATATCATCCTCAATTTTTTTTTAAATATGAGCTGAGTTTTTAAAAATACTTCTCTTAATACTTGCAGAAGGAAAACTTCCCTGACAACAACATTCCTCAAGTTCAGCTCTACCAAGCTTGCATGGACTTTCATATCACAAAGGTAAATAAATACACAATAATATGCGGGGAAGTGTAACAATAAATACTATAAACAAATATTTTAAACATTAATATATTAATATGGTATCTTTACTTTGTTATATTCAAAAATTATAGCCTTGACTTTACATAGCAAACACTAAAATGTTTTTGGAAAATTTTTTACATATCAAATGTAAAAACTTATTTTTAGACAAGCAAGAACAAACCAGGCAGAAAAGGTAGTGAGGTAATATCGGCACGTGCCTATCTAAACAAAAATTAAATGCTTAATTTCTATGGATTTCACAAGAGAAAACATTAATGCTTGCAAATCAGTTCAATCAAAATAATTCTATCTTTATATTCTTTCTTTACATTTTAACATTTTAGTAAATATTCTTGTTTATCCTTAATTTCTGCATAATAAATATTGACTATTTCACATAAATAAAATATTGCAGAGTTTCAATAAATATTGTAAAAAAGCATATTTTAAATTTAATAAAAATGGTGTGAATATTTTTTATGTTATCGCTTTCAAATAACTAAACACAGTCAAATTATTTGTTTTTATTACTATTTGGTAACACACACATACACATACAATATATACATACAAAAGTAACAATTATTTACATGACATTTCTTACTGAATAATAATAATTACTGAATAATAGTAATAATTATTTACATGACATTTCTTACATTCTGCCTCATTTCTGTACTGAAAATAACAAATGTACTTTTTTAAACTTACAAATTGAGATTTAATACTGATATTTTTAATTTCAAAGCACTTTTTTCAATAGATGACATTGCTGGCATGATTAAATTTCATCGAACTGTAACTACAAATTAATCTTTTTAAATAAAAAAGATGCTATTTAATATTTTAAGCAAGGGTCAACATACAGAAGAAATTAACTTTAGTACTCAGACACAGTCTGCCAAGTATTCACAAAATTAAGTTATCAATTAAATAGAAAATTATTTACATAATCAAAAATCCATTAACTCAAATTTTTTAATTTATTCAATATAGCTACTAAAATCTAACAGAAAAAATGAAAAAAAAGTGTTTGAAGTAAAAACATAATCCCATCTTTTTGAAGTAGTCTCTTTAGATGGTTTTCTGAGATATAACTTTTATTTTACAGATCTGTGAAATCAAGATCACTCCTCCAGCAACTGAAGCACCTGCAGCAGCATCTGCTTAAGTTAAGGTATTTAAGCTTTCAGTATATCAATTAAAAATTCTGAATGCTTACATGTATATTAAAGTTCTCTCACTATTATTAAAATTCAGCTAATATAATTCTAACTGCATTTAAATGCCTTCAAATCCCTCTAATATGTTATTTTATTACATAATATTTATTATTAACAACAAGTATTATAAATAGATTTTTATAGCCATAAATTCTGGAGGACTGCTTGATACAAAGTGTTTAATGTACTACTTACTACATCATAACATGAGTAGAATGGGATAATGTACTTTGTGGTAATGGAAAGAGAAATATGATGCTCAAATGATTTTTACTTCCTTGTACGAAGTAAAGGAAGTACTGTAATAATGAAAAATTTTGGGTACCACACTTCAACGAAAATATCCATTTTAACGCTATTGAATGCAATTTAACAATGTTACAAAAAAGTATAGGACTTTATGTCACTCTTATCTCAAACTTTAACAAAATTGAAACAGTTCATTATTATAGCTGTCAAGTCACATGAACCAGATAACAAGCAGCAAAGTGCAGACTTATTCAGCATCATGAAGAATTCATATGTCAAGAACCTAAAAAAAAAAATCTGTAAGAAAATTTTAAACATTTCTCTCTCCATTACCATTAACTATATTAGCTATTCCCTTTACACTTTCATGTAATAAAATATTAAAATCCTGAAGATCCCCACGTCTCAGTGTTAGAAACATAACAAGATACCTAAAAAAAAATATTAGAAAAAATAGACCTTAGTTTTTTTCACATTATGCATTTTTGAATAATTTAGCATAATTTAGAAATGAATCTAATGAAAGTTTGGTGTCTATTAATTTTGTATTATGTTTCTGAATAAGAAATTCATTTATTACTTTTATTATAATACATCCTAAAATGATAGAGAATTGCAAGATCAATTTTCAAATTGAATCACATATTTTAATGATGCAAGAATGAAATCAAAATAAATTCTAGAAAATTGTATAGCATTTCACACAAAAATTTCAACTAAATTTCATGACATTAAAAATCATTGATTTGGTTAAAAGGTTTTGATTGGAACATTAGAAGCTGTTTCACACAGGTGAGAGCACTTTTATAAAGGTAGCTTTTTTCATTCAAAACCTGAATTTGATTCAGTGTGAAAAATATCAATAATGTTGGAACAAAAAATTCTGTTGAAACATGTAAGACTAAAACTGTTGACTCAAGTCATCCCTAGGCTCATTAATCTTAACTAGTATGTTGTTTCTATTATTAAAAACTGAATGATTATATATGGTAAACAATACATGCACTGGTTGCTGACACAGCATTAAAACAAAATATGCCATGCTGAATGAGCGACTCAGTTGGAAGCATCAGACAAATTCTGTCTGTCCGTGATTTAGATACATGATCTCTAAATCCTTACATTTTATAAAATTTTAAAATATTTTGCATTATAAGATTAAATGTTGTCCTTGTCTGACCAATAATAATAAAGCAAAAGGACTTGACTATGCTAAATATCACATGACATGGATACAAAATTGCTTGGAATTCTAAGAAGCTGAATTCAGATAGTATCAGCCACTGGATTATTTCACCCAACTTCAAGAAAATTATTAGAATAAACAAAGGAGATATCACATTTTTTGATTAAATTAATTCTCAAAGCCCTTCAAACCTAATGCAGTGTAAATTTAAAATTTTTCTATGTCTGCAAAAAAATGGAATTTGTCTGATGTTTGTAACTAAATCGCTAATTGAATGAGAAATTATTTTCATTTGATATAAAATGAACACATAATAATGGTGAATACTGTTTCTGTTTGCAGTATGAACAATTTTGTATTAAATAATTAGAAACACTATAATGGAAATTATTAATGAATTTCAAAATGCATTGAATAACAGGTTATTCTGAAAATTTGCTAAAAATTGCATTGTTATTGTGCCAGTAATATTTTTCACATTTCATTCTGAATCAGATTCAAATTTCAAGTTTGGGAAAGAATATTTTATAGTTAAATTTCAACCAAACAAATCCCATTTCCTTAACTTTCTGTCTTTTATCACAATTATCTGATGGATGACAGTAAAAATACATGATAAGCTATTTTATTCAAATGTTCCTTATTATTTTGGAACTATATGCCAAAGATAAATAAAAATAATAAATGTGCCAAAGATAAAATAAAAAGATAAATATGTGAAGGTAATAATTTTATCAATTTAGTTAATTTTTATGAGACACATTGTGAAACCTTCCTAGAGTTTATTTTGATTCATATTTGCTTTGATTAAAAGCAAAACTGAGTTTGAGAACGACTCTATCACTCTAAGACACATACAATATATGTATTATTTAAAATTCTGCACAGTGCATATGTGTACTATTATAAAATACAGAAAAATAATTTCTTTAAAAAATATTCTTTTCTCTCCTTCAGCTTCTTCTGCTCCAGTTGATATCTAAGCACTTCCAGCTCAGAGTGCTCAGAGTAATCAAATATCAAAATTTGTGATAAAACAAAAAACAAATCATGTACTTTCAAGAAAAGATTCGATGATGTGAATCAGATGAATCCAAGTTTTTAGTTTTGTAAAAAATTCTCATCTGAAAATGTATATTGTGTAGAGAAACTTTCATAGTACTTTTAAGCTGGAGAATTTTGTGATGTAATAAACTGTTCTATGTTTTTAATTTATGTCATTCATTTAATAACGCAATAATGAGACACATTCACATATCAAGAGGATCCAAAAACCTTAAAATAGGAAGCCTTCAGTATTTGTACATAGCGCTGTAAGCTTTCATAATCGGCTGTAGTCCGATCTAAGGACTCTTGTAATTCTTTAGTTCTGCGAAGTAACCTTTCTGTCTCCTATGAAATAATTTATGAACACCAATACATTAATATAAAAGCAGCTTAAATAATAATAACAGAATGCATAAAATATACAATAATTAACATATTACCTTAACTAATTACTATTGTAAATAAAGTGAATTTTATAAAATGAATTACCAATACACGATCCATATTTTAAAAAGATAACTCAGAGTTATTTAAAAGTTAGACAAAATTCACCTTTAAATAACTGTTAACTGTAAAGAAATCTGTTTCTTTCCTTCAATCAAAAAATTATCTCTGGAGAGTGGTGCCTAATAGAAACAACTGTTAAACCAATAATAACAGATTTGAATCACAAGAAAACATAAATATTTATAATTTACATCTCTGTGGCATAAGGAGACTTAAAATTTGTCAAACCAGAAGCCACTCAAGAGGTTGGTATGTGCAGAAGACAGATGTGAAATACCTAACAAATTTTTTAAAATAAATATTGGATGATTTTTAAAAAAATTCAGAAAAAAGTCTTATGTGAGTTTTACAAAGAAAACTGGACACATAGCTGAATATTTGTAATAATTACACAGGAAAAAATACTTAATATATAAACATGGAAAATCAGACAAATGAACCTAGTTTAACATATTTACAATAGCTTTTTCTATAATATAACCTAGAAACTATATTTTGCATATTTAGTATCTCTTTTCAGTTTCAGAATCGATATAGCTGAATATCACCAAATTGAAAGATAAAGGTACTTTAAAAAACCGACATAGGGGAAAAAAAAAAAAAAAAAAAAAAAAAAAAAAAAAAAAATTCTTATTTTCTTAAAATACTTAATTTTAATACATTATCGTTATTTTAATGATATAATAATAATGTTGTATTTCTTAAAAAAACCACCATGAAATCTGCACATCACTAAATCAAAACTTTATAGATAAGTTGATCTTAAAGTTTCTAGAATGCTGATAACTTACTAAACTTGATGAGGTACATTAAAAGAATTCATATTCTAAAATGACAACAACTTTTTTGATATAACAAAGAGAATAAATTCAAAGTGGCACATTTTTGGGTGTCTTTAAAAAAATTGTAAAATTTGCCCCTCCCCCCCAAAAAAAAAGAGAAGAGGAGGATTATTACAGAAATTATAAAAAATCTTTGAGGGCTTAGGTACACTCACTAAAAGAAGCAAAATAATAACAATTAAGGAAAGGAAAACCTTTTCTTAATTGTTATTATTTTTAAGGAGGAAAGAGAAGGAAAGGAAATGAAAACCTTTCCTTAATTGTTATTATTTTAAATCAGATTAAACATCTAACTGTTTATATTGCTAGATTGTTGCATCATTACCAAAATGAAAACGAGACTAGCACAGTTACCATAGATCATATACAACACAGAAAATGAATGAAAAAAAGTCTTAACTTCAGTTAAGGTTACCAGAGTTTAAAAAACCCCATTGGCCTCTGGCATTTTACTTTACCACGGATTTATTGGAAAATATTCCATCAATATCACCTTCTTACCAATATTTTCACCTTATGGTGACATGTCTAACTGCTAGAGGATTTTTTATTTCAGCCTTATATACAAATATTGAATTTTGGGTAAATTTTTGGAGAAAAAACTATCATGCTTATAACCAATTTTACTTGGAAATATACAACAAATCTTTATTATTTTTGTTAGGCATATATATTTTGCTGAAAACTGCGTGCCTGATGCTTATTGAATATGTGATTTTTATTTTTTTATTAATTTTTATTTATTTAATTCATTAATTTTTTTAATATTTGAATTTTTTATTTAAGTCATATGCTCAGATTTATTTTGAAAGGAAGCATATCTGGAAGTTTTTGTTAAACAAAAATAAATGATTAAATTATATGTTCTGTGAATTGAATAAAAATTATTTCACCTACCAAACATAATATATTTAAGTTGTTACAGGTACTAGTTTATTTCAACGAATGTTCCATATGCTTTCCTCCTTTGAAATCGATAAAATGAAAACTTTATAAAAGGTTGACTTTTGCTTATAACATACTAATATGAAATTCCACATTATATTCAAGATAACTCAGTCTAGAATGAATGAATTCCTAATTGTGACTGAGTGTAGTGATAATTTAATTTGTCATAACTTCTTTTTTACTAACTATTGTTGTACAAAATATTAGAGTGTGTGCATTTTTTTTGAAAAAAAAAAATATCAACGCAATTTTTTTTTAAATGTCTCAAAATTTCTGACTGAATTTAAAAATGCTTATTTGATAGCATATTATTGCTATGGAAATGCCATCTAAGAGACCAAATTCAAATTATATTGTTGCATGCTTATGGGTTTGCAACAGACTTTATGCACACAGGTCTGATGATAGGTTGATAAAATTTATTTCACCAAAAGAAACATTTCAGAGTTCTGGAATTTTCCACAGAAATACTCATATAGGTGTCTGCAGTATCAAAGAGTACAATCAGTAGTTACCCTTCAAACTACTAAGAATGTTAAACACAATGTAATGCAAAGCAGATCTTAAAGAGAAACCTAACTTGGAGATATCTCAGTACTTTGAAATCGCACTTGAACTAAGAACTCACAACTTAGAGCAGATTCTCTCTCCAGTCTTATACAGTTTTCTGATTTATGCAGAAATGACGTTCAGTTCCGTACGGCATGGAAGATGACATCCGTTCTAGTTCGTACAGTTCCGTATGGCATGAACTAGGACAGATGTCATCTTCTTGGTGTATAGTACTTTCTGCTTCTCGAAATTACTGAAAGGCAATATGAGGGTCGAATTGTGGTTAAAGCTAATACAGTGATCAATTACATTTATTCAGTTACAATACATATTCTGGTGATACAGGGACTGGACCAAAATGTCGCCAAATGGTCAGCAAATTTGGCAACAAAAATTAGTCACCAAAACTATTGCCAGCTTGGTGATATCTCACCAAAATTCCAAGATACCCATTTACTTAATATAAAATAGATTTGCCCCTGTATTCTTACTTTTCCTGCATAACTTGTCTCTTTTGATTTTTCATGTTACATTACACAGGAAAATACAAATTCGCATATAATTGCACTAAAATCATCTATCTATGTACAAAATTCATAACAGTATCTTACGTTACGAGCTCCCTTTTAAAGACTTGCCCTTAATGATAAGAACAAACCTTAAAAACTCATGAAGCTTTTCATTCAAAGAAAAAACTACTATGAAGCTTTGCATTCATTTAATAAAAGAAAAATTTACTCAAAATGTAGTGCCATAACTATGTGTTTTTACTTTTCATTAGATTGCCTGCAACAAATACCTGCTACAACTGAAGTAGGCATCATTTTTATTTTGTCAGAATATGATATTTGTGTAGGGAAAACAATGCTTGTTCCTGAGGTAAAGAAAATGATGTGAATTTGACATATATTTTTAAATAGTCAATTTTTACTTGACATGTGTTTTTTTTTTCTTTAATTTAAGTGAAATAGCATTTAACATGCAGTGACAGTATAAAACCTACAAAAGAAGTGTTCTTTGTAATTCCGAAAACAATCCAAAAAATGCTTCCAGTTTATTAACACAAAGCATATTTGTTCACAGTTTACCTTTAGACATTTAATCTGTTTATACTAAAACTAACTTTATTGATTTAAACACTGATCCCATACACATTCCTCCAGTTACAGAGCTATTCAAAATAAGATGTAAATTAACTGTAAAAGTGGAAAATTTTTGATAAAATAAATTTAATTTTTTCTGTAGCTTGAGAGAAAAAAATTCTAGCCAGCAACTTAAAAAAAAAAAAAAAAAAAAAAAAAAAAAAAAAAAGCATTATTCTGGTTAAAAAAAAAAAAAACCTCCATTCAATTATGTTCAATCTTTACAACAGTTATTGCTTAATCAATTAAGACAAAGCATGAGAGGGCAGACAGAGGAATCATAAACAGATATATATATATATACACACATATATATGAAGCTAATTCAGAAAGTAATTACCATCTGCATGTATCTCCCACACCTCCAACAGCATGAACGTCACGCATGCATAGTTACGTCATTCAACTCGAGAACAAACTAGCCTGTTTTTTGCTTGTTTACTTCAACATTTTTTTTTTTTTTTTGGTAATCATGTTTAAAACAATGACAGGCCTACCAGTAGTGAAATGAGAGTCATTATCAAGTTTTTGAATGCAAGAATGGTCAAGATTGTGAAATTAATCATCAGATAAATGAAACATATGGAGAGAATGCAACAAGTGAAGGTATGGTGCGAAAGAAGGTGAGGATGTTTAGCAAAGGAAGGGAAAATGTCCACGACAAGGAGTGCAGTGGATGCCTATCATTGATCACAGAGGAATTGCGTACTACATAAATGAAAAAGTCCATTCCAATAGGTGATTCCTGATTTGTTAATGCATTTTCAAAACATTTCAAGATCTTTATTACGTAAAACTGATTGAACATTTGGGCAACAAAAAATTCTGTTTGTGATGGGTACCAAAAACCAGGGCTGTGGAGGCGGTAGGGAAAATCACCAACTCCAACTCCTGGAATTTGAAAGACTCCAACTCTGACTTCCTAATATATATATGTGTGTAAATGTTATGTAGTAAAATTCGGGATTTTACGAATTAATTAATTTCTTATTTTGTTGAATTAATTAGGTATTAAATTAAATTTTTTGTTTGTGTCTCTAGAAAGAAGTATTTACACGTGTATATTTAGTTTAAGGAGATTATTCTTTTTATTTTTTCACTTAATTCTTAACATGTTGGGATACAGTCTGTGAACTAGTGCCTCAAGTAAAAATTTATGTAAAAATATAAAGTGAAAGGGAAGAATCTAACGAACTGTAATGGATTAACTGTGAAATGTTAAGTTTGATTTAAGGTGTTAATGTAAAAGAACAGGGCCGCCTGATATTTGTTTCCTTTCCGTTTTCCTGTCTTCTTTCAGTCAGGGAATGTTCCACAAGATTCTAGAAACTAGGTCTTTTGTTCAGGGTTTAGT